TTTTTTGTTGTAATCTCAACCATTATATTAATCTGAATTACATTTTTATTCCTCATGTTGTTCTTTGAATTCCATAGCTTCAAAGTCCAAATGTAGATTGACTAGAGTTGATTAATAAGGAATCAATCTGAAATAACAGATAGGCTATTTATGTCTGATATATATGACGATTCAAATGATAACACTTTTGTATAACAAGGTAGTTATAAATTATTCACATTCTCATGTATTTTATCGTGGAAAAAAAAGCCTTAAATGACCTGTCTAGCTAAGATGGGACATATCATTTATACAAATTTGCCCTGAATCCTATAGAAACAACTTTAAAAGAAAATTATTTCAACTCTCCTTTATATCACCAAATAAATATTGATAGTAAATTAAATATAAATAACGTAACCAAAATGTCACTAATAGAATAGGATATGTGATTTATCTGTATTGATTTGAGAAGTGACTGGATGACATTGGGTCCAACTCACTTCAAAGAATTGTTGTGGATAAAATAGGAGAAGGAGAAGGAAAGGAGGAGACACTTATTTATGTGTGAGCTATTTTCCTACACACCTGCTGTTTATATCCTTTACCACATTTCTTATCCCTTTTCCATTAAAAATATTCCAAAAAAATGTAACACATAACTTATATTAACTAATCATTTTTAAACATTCAGTAAGAAAACAATTAGAAAAGCAACCCTGATTAGGCAACAAATAGTTTATTTTTAAAGCCTTACTTTTGATAATTATCAAAAGTGATAACTATTTTATTTTAGAAAAAAACTCTATTGCAATTAGTGGAATTTACTTCTGAAGTGTTTATAGGATTGCAATAAATGACAATGTCGCAAGGCAGTAACTTCATTAAAAGGCATTAACATAGTATTGATTATAGCATTCTTTGCAATAAAGGAGGAAGAGAATATTTAACTCCTAAATCTATTAATTAACCAATTTATATTCCCACGTCTTCCTCCCCTCTGACTTCAAAATCCCACCCGTTTAGCTCAGTTGAATGGAAAAGATGAATGCTACTGTTCAATGGTAGAGCACCTGCTTCACTTAAGGCATATTTGGATGGGGGTGGGGAGAAAGAAAGAATCCTTCCTAAATTCCAAGAAAAATGCTATTAAATGGACCCACTGGTCCAACTCAATAGAAGAGTTTTCTCTTTTCCTAAAGCAGAATAGTGCAAATGGGATAGAAAGCATTAAAACATCTTTGAATTTTATTGCCCATACTCCATTTTAAAAAAATCTACCTTAATTGCACATAACAGGAAATTATCAAATAAATTGGACCCAGCTAGCAAAGCCATAGGCATTTAAAAGCAGTAGCAAAAGAGAGAGAAGAGCAGCATGCTGATAGAAAATAAGTGTTTGAAGGCAAGACATAAATCCCTAAATGGAAAATAAATGAAAGACCTCACAGCATACATTTTTTGTTCATGCTGGGATGAATGCATTGGTCTGCTAATTTAAGGGACAATCTATTCTTATTTGGGAGCAAGAAGGATTGAACTCAGTAAAATACACATGCTGTTGTTTTGTTGGTATAATATCCATGTTATTCACCATACCATATTGAAAATAATCACTGATTGATCAGACCCTCTCAGCATTCCTAGATGTTGAGCAGACGAGCAGATGTGCAACAGACACCTACATCTCTTCTTGATTGGGCATGTTAAAAAAGTAATTAAGTAATCAATAAGTAAATGGCTTCAGTGATAGGTATGCAAAATCACAACAATACAACCACACCGCTTCCATCTCATAGAAGGCAATATATACTATATAGTTGTGGAACATTTGTAGCTATTAATTATCAGTCTCTATTGCTACATTTATTGTCTATCAATTGTTAAATGGCTGAACAAGAATAACAAACACAAAAAGAAATCTTTTTGCAGCACTTATGATAAATAAGAACCATGCTTTTCCCCCCTACTTCTGAATATGCCATATCTTATTGGAAAAATCCATGTGATAAAGGAGAAAACAGTAAAATGGGCAACTATTAAGGAATAATTAGCAGAGGTAATTGAGTAACATCAGAAATGGCCTAAAACCCCACAAATATAAGGAAGATTTTTTTGCCATTACATTAGTTTCCAAATAACAAAGAAACCTATAGATATAAAATGCTAAAACCTTCCAGCAACTGCATTAAAAAAATGTAATAAAAAAAAATAATCGTCCACCATCATCCCAGCAATGACTGTGGTATATCAAGCCAGATCTTCCTGCAAAAATCCAGAGAATAGGAACTATTATCTAGGAGTCAAATATCAGAGTAATACAAGATCATCCAAATTAAAGATAGATTCAGTTTGGCTCTGTTCCATTCTATCCATATTATAATGCTGTCAAGCACTGTGTCTACTCTTCTACCATATCAGTTGTTTGGCTTAGTGCTGAGACCAGAGTCAACATAGAACATTGTCCATCTAGCAGAGTTCTTCATATAGCTTTTTCTTGTTAATATTGTTAATGTATACAGAAAAACATAGCTATTCCTTTGTAAATTACATTTGTGAAGGCAAATGTCTTGAAGATCATGCTAAAATGTACATATATAAATTCGCCATTGCATATTCTCAAGAATTACAATTTAGTGGAGTGGTGGTAATGATAATAACATTAAAGCCCAAACATCATCTCTTCAATTTACTTGTAATTCACTATCTCCCATGTAAAGGCCTCAGACAGGAGGCTTTTTATACTATATATAAATTATTATACTATATAGTAGTATAATAGTTCCTCCCTCTGCAATCCTATCCTTCTTTGCTTATAATTCTCTTTATTCTTTTATTCCCACGCTGTGATCTTCTTTTTCAAATGCAAACCTATTCAGCCACAGTAACAAATTTATCCTTAAAACTATTTTTAAGTACTGCTTATTCTTGTATGTATCTTTGCATACAAGTTCATAACTCAGATGAGATGGATTTACTTTTGGCCCAGCATTCCAAATTGATAATTTCATTATGGAAGTATTATGGGATCTTTTAAAGCAATAGCCTATTCATAAAGGAATATAGAACCATCTTGTCCTACATTACACAGTTGGAATGTCTATAAATGGCATGCATTTGTAGTACTGTTATAATAACTACTAGCCATAGGTAGATTTATTATGATGGATGCATAATGTATTCCTGTTATGGGACATTCTTACTCTCAAATGAGCCGTTTTATCAATTCAAAGTCAGAACAATACATTTTTAGAATAAACTACACAGCAATATAGAGTTATAACATTCCATGTGGTATCCTTACATATTCTCATTTTTTAAATATTTTAAAAAATAATTTAAGCTTATCAGATTCTTGTTCTTCTCAATTAAAAATTATATAGCCAAAAAAAATGGAATTAAATGCCACAGGCAATACTGAAATGTATTTGCATGACTGCCTATTAAAAATATTGATAAGGAATGAATCGAAGTGAGAGACTTTAAATAAAGTGTATTTCAAATTTGTCTACAACAGCATTTATTGATTTATCTTTCATACTAAGGAATTAAACTCTGCAAGCAAACCGGATACATAATTTCAGTTATGTATTTTGCCTATATATTGCAGAGAAGACAAATTGAGTTAATTTTAATTATGAGAAGCATCCAGAGACCTGAGTCAGATTTAAAGGACTTAAACCATTTCAGCAACCTGGTCCAATTATCAATCTCCTACTTCTTCAGGAGTTAAAAAGAAAAATAAACTTATTAGAACTTTTTAGAATAAACTTTTTGAAAACACATATTGTTTCTTGCCTGCATTTAAAAAAACTGAAAAAATTAGAGGCTATAATGATTTATGAACCCACCACATATACATAACATTTGCATTATATCTTAATAACAGAAATAATTTTTATGCTTATCTGATTAGTAATTATACTCAAATGCTAAATCAATGCAATATGTTAACAAAATACCTTGCTATCTGTGCCATGTCTGTTCTTATTGTGCCGTGGTGACGCAGTGGTTAGAGTGTAGTACTGCAGGCTACTACTTTTGGCAGTTCAAATCTCACCAGGCTCAAGGTTGGCTCAGCCTTTCATCCTTCCGAGGTGGGTAAAATGAGGACCCAAATTGTTGGGGGCAATATACTGACTCTGTAAACCACTTAGAGAAGGCTGTAAAGCACTATAAACCAGTATATAAGTCTAAGTGCTATTGCTATTTGCAACCAAAATAGTCACTTTCATGTACTTTCCTACCCTAGATTAAGTTTCTTTCTGTATTTTATGAATTATTACTTCTAACACTTAATTTATTCCAATTAGATATTTAAAATTGTATAGCAGTATTGTGACAAATGATAGAGAAGAAAGACAAGAAAATAGTAATATAAAGTGAAATATTCAGTTCTTTTTGCTTTATACAAGTGATGTTTATTCAAATTATGTTTTAGGAAACAGTTCCTAGAAATTATATTCCTTTATCTCTAATATTTTATCCCTAAAATATTTATAATATTAATTTGTTATCTTGCTAAAAGTTCATAAAATGGATTGCTTTCTCTTAAACTGATGTCTCAAACTACAGGTAATCCTCAATTTACGACCACAATTGAGCCCAAACTTTTTGCTGCTAAGTGAAGCATTTCTTAAGTGAATTTTGCCTCATTTTACTATCTTTTGTGCCACAGCTGTTAAGTGAATCACTGCAAGTTAGTAACATGGTTGTTAAGTGAATCTGCCTTCCCCATTGACTTTGCTTGTCAGAAGGTCACAAAAAGTGAACAATGAGCCTGGGACACTGCAATTGTTATAAATATGAGTCAGTTGCTAAGCATTCAATTTTTGATCACATGACTATGTGAATACTGCAATGGTCTTAAGTGTGAAAAATGATCATATGTTACTCTTTTCAGTGCTGTTGTAACTTTGAATAATCACTAAGTGAACTGTTATAAATTTAGACTACCTGTATGTGATATTCCACTATAAGAAGCATACAATAAGAAAGCAATTAATCTTGTTTTTACATACGTGGCAAGACATTCTGGATTTTCTGAATGCAGAATAGATATTCCAGGCAATCTTCTGTTGTGTTCATCAGTAAACTAGCCCAACTGACAAAGGGAAGACACAAATATTCATTCATTGTTACTGATCTGTACAACATTCCATTTCAGGATTTAGATCAGCCTTGAAATTTCTTTCTAATATTGTTTTGAAAAATTACTATTTAATATTTAATTAATTAATATTTAATAATACATTAATAAATATTTGAGATATAAAATAATAAATTAATATTTGATATTTGATATAGTAATTTGGGGAAAAGGATTTTTTACAGTCTTAATATCCTAAGTGGGGAAGAAGAGGTGCCATTAATGGCATCATAAAGAATTAATTGTCTTTGAGAAAATAAATTGTAATGCAGAATATGCTTAGCTGAGGAAGTAGATAGACAAGTAAATGTTAGAAAGTAAACCATGTGATGAAGAAAAAAGTCCATTGATAAAAATGTGCTATGATCTTTATGAAAATAATTGGAGAATATATATCTACCATTTTAGACACTTAATTCAGAATCAGGCCACTTGAACTTTGCTGGTATGAACAATTTAAATCAGATCATATGTAAACACATCAAAGCCCTATGTGAGCACCATCACATAGACCTCCATAATTGGGTTATGGTGCCAAGTGGAACTACTAAAGAGCTGTAGAGCAGAGCTATGTTTACTCGTTCAAATCAAATTTGAAACACAGCCCTGAAAAAGAACTACTCAAAAATTCTGCACTTTTAATAAGAAATCCTACAGAATTTATTTCTGCCTTTGAATTTGTTCCACCTTCATGACTTAACTGTAGATAAACTTAAGATCAGCATGAATTTAGAATGACAAGTAGTTAACTATGAAACAACTTAAAATATTTCATAAAATGCTACTTCCTTATAGTCTTATTTTGCTTCAAATTTGGTGTTCAGTATAAACAGCATGCCAACTGAAAGCATAGGGTAAGCACTGACATTTTTACAATCTGCTTTTATGGAGCAGTAAAATTTGAATATAAATTCCTTATTAATCACATTGGCTGAGTGGAGTTTTGCAGACTAACCCTGGATACAAGTAAAATAAGTGAAATATCTTAGTTTAAACGAGAATAACTTAAATGAGAATAATTCATAATCTTGACTAAATTGTGTTCTCTAGTACAGACAGAGCTTACAACCATTTATTTCGTGACCATTCAAATTTACAATGACACTCAAATAAGTTACTTCCACGTAGGACTACTGCAGCATTGCCACAGTCATGTGATAAAAATTGGGGCACTTGGCAATGGGCATGTAGATACCCCGATTGCAGCTTCCCGGGTTAATGTGATCGCCATTAGCAATCTTCCCAGCTTGGCTTCTGACAAGCAAAGTCAACGGGGGAAGCCGCATTTACTTAACAACTGCCAGCGATTCACTTAACCATGGCAAAGAAGATCATAAAATTGCTCACAACTTATTTATTTTGTAATTTATATGCCACTTATCTTACTATCCAAAACAATGTAACAACTACCTTGCTAAGTAATAGAAATTCTGGTCCCAACCAGAATTCTGGTCCCAACCAGTTGTTGTAAGTTGAGGACTATCTGTAATGCTAGTAGTTGTGAATATAAAATACAATATAATAATATAATCCTTAATATAAATTATATACTAAACTGTTATCTAAATGACTAAAAGTGATTATTGGTAAAAAAAAAAAAAAAAGGAATTTATGAGAAAATAAAAATTCAGTTATGTTACATGCATTATTATAGACATCTGCAAATATAAAAACAATTTTAGAGAATTACCTTAAAAATAGCAACGAAAAAATACTAATCCTGCCTAAGTAATATTCAATTTACCAGCTACCTATTACAATACACCAACCTAAAATATCTTGAGGATTTGAGATTAGTATCATAGAATTTGTTTCAGTATTTATTGTATTAACAGGTATTTTTTAAAAGAATATTATATGTATGGAGAACGGTTCTCTGGTTTCATTCATACTAAAGGAAACTGTTGAGGATAACAGTCTGCAATTACCTAAAATGCTACTATTTAGCAACAGACACTGAAAGGAGACCAAATAAAAGACCAAAGGAGTCCTCTTGGACTCACGGCTGTCTTTAGAAGAACACTTGACGGCTGTGGCCGGGAGGTCTTTTTATCAGGTTCGCCTGATTCGCCAGTTGCGTCCCTTTCTGGATCGGGACTCGTTAAAAACGGTCACTCATGCCCTCGTCACTTCACGCCTGGACTACTGTAATGCTCTCTACATGGGGCTCCCCTTGAGGAGCACCCGGAGGCTCCAGCTGGTCCAGAATGCGGCCGCGCGGGTAGTTATGGGAGCAGCATGGCGCTCCCATGTGGCTCCCCTCCTGCGCGAGCTGCACTGTCTCCCTGTGGTCTTCCGGGTGCGCTTCAAGGTCTTAGTTACCACCTTTAGAGCGCTCCATGGCTTAGGACCGGGGTATTTACGAGACCGCCTTCTGCCACCAATAGCCTCTCACCGCCCAGTACGCTCCCATAGAGAGGGGCTTCTCAGGGTGCCGTCAGCCAAACAATGTCGACTGGCGGCCCCCAGGGGGAGAGCCTTTTCTGTGAGGGCACCCACCATCTGGAACGAGCTCCCCCCAGAGATACAGAAGATTCCGGATCTGCGCACTTTCCGCCGTGCCCTCAAAACATTCCTGTTTCAGCAGGCCGGCCTGGCCTAACTTTCCCTTTATATTGCTTTTTGATTTTATTTTAAACTGGAATGTCTTGAATTATCTAGGACCAGAATGTTTAGTATATTTTAATTGGTTTTTTATTATTAACGTTTGTATTACATGTATTTTTATCGTTCGCTGTTCACCGCCCTGAGTCCCTTAGGAATAGGGCGGTATATAAATTTAATAAATAAATAAATAAATAAATAATTACAGTACTGCTGTATTTACTTATGAGGCATTCCAAACCTCATTAAATGATGCATACCAATTCTATCTGTTCTTTGATGTACAGAGCAAACTGAGATTGTGTTAAAATGAAAAAATAAACCTTATGGTTAACTGACATGGTATCAAAATGTGACCTTACCTACTTGAGTCTTGACATCTGACACAAATAAATTGGGTTTTTTTTTTCTGATGTGATCCAAGTTTTGTTACTTGTGCTCCCACCTTGCAGATGCCTATTCACAGACTAGCCAAAATGCCATTTTATGGTGGTGAGCGTAACTCATATAGAAAGGGATTGAAGGAACAGGTATAATGGTGAGAATTTTCACTGGGATTTAACTACATGACAACTGCAGATATGATACCAGTCCTGGGTCTTTTCCATATTTGCATCCCTTTTTCTAGTATATCTGCTAGCACAGGATCTATCAAGACACTTGTTTACTGCAGATCTATCTGTGGGAAGATCTCTGGAGTCACCTGGAGTCATTTGGAAGAAGTATTTCTCTATCAGCAGACACATCTTTGAAACAGGTTTCTACTGATAATTTCCTAATCAAATGTGCACTAAGTTAATAAAAATTTAAAATATTGATTTGATATACTAACATTAAGGCAAAGGATTATATCTTTGATAACTATTTCTATATCTTGTGTGGCTCAATCATATTATTTAAATACAGGTAGTCCTCGACTTACAGCAGTTCATTTAATAACCATTCAAAGTTACACCAGCACTGAAAAAAGTGATTTACGACCATTTTTCACATTACAACCTTTGCAGCATCCTCATGATCACATGATCAAAATCCAGATGCTCAGCAATATGGTTCATATTTATGACCGTTGCTGTGTCCCGAGGTCATGTGAAGTCAATGGAAGCCAAATTCATTTAACATCCAGGTTACTTAATTATCAACTGCCGTGATTCACTTAACAACTGAAGCAAGAAAGGTTGTAAAATAGGGCAAAATTCACTTAACAAATATCTCACTTAACAACAGAAATTTTGTCTTTGACTATGGTTGTATGTTGAGGACTAGTTGTACCAATCTTTTTCTCCAGAATATTAAGGCCACAATGTTTTCATTTAAAGCTGATCAAGATCATAAGACAGCTCTTTGTACTGCATATCACAGCTGCAGATCAATATGGTGTAACATGAAGTTGTTGATGGTGTTATTAATAATAGACCAGCTTATATTAAAAGAGCCAGATTGACGTAGTTAAGGCACCAGACTAGAAATAGGGAGACCATGAATTCTAGCCCTAACTTGAGCACAAAGCCAGTTGAATGATCTTCGGCTAGTCACTTTCTCTCAGCCCTAGGAAGCAGGCAATTACAAATAATTTCTGAAAAATCTTGCTAAGAAAACCATAGGAGACCCATCATTACATAAAGCACACATAAACCTATAAAAACTATTCAAGATATGCAACAATAGAAAGGTTAATGGCATCCATAATGAGAAGCAGCAAACTGCAAATACTCTATAAGTATTTTCATATGCTTTGGTTTCACTTTCTTAAATATTTACTTGTATAAGAATATGGAGGAGACTAGAAAACTGAAAGCTTGTTCTCAATTTTCATAAAGTATTCTCTTTAATGCTAGTCTGTAACTGTAACAAAAATTGAACTGAACTGTATTATCTCCAGAATATAACTTCTGAATACAAGATTACTTCCATATCCATAATAAGTAGAGATATATGCTAAATAATTGTCCCAAAGTAATTGTCCCAAATAATTGTCTTGGACGAGAAGCGAAATGTCTTCAAAGAAAAAATAGGAAAGTCCAGTTGCCTCCTGAAAAAGCACCTTTGGGACAACCATGACCTGGATGATTTAGAATCTCCATAGATTTTGTGCTAAACAATTAGCCTTCCCCTTAGCAACCCCCAAACTTTGGAACAAATTTCCTCAAGGAATATTGGACACCCACTGACCTTGCATTTTGAGTGCATTCTTCCTAGGTATGTATGCTTATTATATTTTTAATATTCTGATTACTGGTGTTTTCTCTTTGTGCTTCACATTCAGATTTTTTTATTTCCTCAGTTGGTGTCCAACCATATTACTACTGAAAAAATAATAACAGTATTTTTCATCTGTAATTGTCAAGGAA